GTAGTTGAATATTGAATTTAGGGTTTTCAGTATTACATATATATATATATAWAAGTGTTATCCATAACGCAGAACCAGTAGCTCATGTATGTCTATCTCTCTAAGTGTATGTATGTATGAAAAAAAACTATATATATATATATTATCGGTGGCTAAACAAACGGTGTTTGGATTTATTATTATTATTATTGTTAACCTACCAGTGCTATTGAAATTATTATTATATATTTATTTTGTTGATTTGTATTTTTATTATATAAATATATAAAAAAAATAAGTTTAAAAATTTTTTTATTGTGTATTAAATGATAAAAAAAATTATTATCATAACTATTATCAAAGTATAATAATAATAATTATAAAAAGTTTTTTTTTAATATATGTATTAATCATTAATTTTGTTATTCAAAACTGCAATATAATATTCATTGCCAGTGTTTTTTTTGGTGGAAAAAATCAATGTTTTTATTAATTAATTAATTAATATGCAGTTTATATTTTGAATATAGTGTAATAATACTTTAAATATTTTTAAAAAAAATTGTTTTAATATATATAAATATTTATATAAATTTTTTTTATAGTCATTATTAATAGTATATGAAATTTTTATGTTTAATTAATATTATATATATATATATACATATAAACTGTACAATATATGAATATTTGATTAATAATATTTTTTTAAAACAAAAATTTCTATTATACAGTATATAAACTTAATTTATATACACTTAATAATTATATTAATAATTAAAATTCATATATAATATCATATATAAAAAAACATACAAATTATGACTAAATAATTATTTTCAAAAAAATTATTAAATATCAATACTGTATATCATTTGTGTACTTTTTAAAAACAGTGTTTTTTAAATATATAATTTAAATATTTATATAATAAAAAAATAAAAATATATTATATATATTCAAATATAATAATAATATTATTATTACTGTATATTATTATAAAATTTTTGTTGTTGTTTTTTGTTTTGTTTTATAACAAGCATTCTCATTATATAAAGTTTTATCCAACAACAAAAATAATAATATAAACAATTTTTTTGTGTGACTTATTTATATATACAGTAAATAAAATATAAAATTTATAATACATATAATATAGTGTCTTTTAATAATAATAATAATAATAATAATAATAATAATAATAATAATAATAATGACAAATATTAAATCAATTATATAATAATTTTGTGTTTTTATTTATTATGTAAATAATTTATTATACAGAATATAACTGTTAACAACCAAAATTTGAATAATAAAATATTTATGAAAATGTTTTTTTTAATTATTTGTTGTTGAATTACATGTATGTAAATTAGGATATAATTTACACTTGAAAATAATAATATAATAAATAGCATAAAAAATAAATAAATAATGATAACAATGTAAACGTTATAACAATGTTAACATCAAACAAACATTTTTCAATATAATAATAAAAACTAATATAATATTAATATTACTATACTATATATATATAGAGTATATATATATATGTATATGATATAATAATAATAATAATTTTTTAAAATATATATACAATATATTTATAGAATAAAATTATAATAATAAAAAAAATCACACAATTTTCAACCTAAATGTTAATAATAAAAAAAAATTATTTTTAATTAATAATAATATTATCTATCATTGAAAACAAAAAATATTTATCAAACAATATGATGACTACAACAACAACGATATCAATATTAAACATAACAACAACAATGTTAAGCAACAGTTATATCAGTGACAACAACAACAACAACAACAATACATTACAACTACAACAACATGACTACTACTATACCAACACCAATGTTACGGCACTACCGGATACAACATCACCGCCGGCACCTACCGTATCAACGGTTGGCGGCGATCAGCCGCAAACCGTACGCAATATACTCATCATAGTTGCCTATTCCCTGATCATAGGGGTATCCCTATCCGGTAATCTACTGGTGTGCAAAATAGCGTGTACTAAACGAAAAATGCGTACCACAACCAACATCCTCATAGCATCCCTGGCCCTATCGGACATAGTAATGGCTGCCATTAGTATACCGTTCAACCTAGCCCGACTATTACTACTGGACTGGCCATTTGGGTCGTTACCCTGTCTATTGGTGCCCTTAATACAGAATTCATGTGTATATGTGTCGACATTTACGATGACATTCATATCGTTGCACAGATGGAGGACAATCACTAAGCGATCGGTTTTTCGTAGGTTTTCCGCATTGAAACTGTTTTCCAGTATATTAGTCATATGGCTGATGGCTATACTGTTTTCGCTACCAATGGGTATATTTAATCGCCTGACGGAAGTCCAATTGGATCATAAGCTACGTATCCGTTGTCGACCCCATTATCCGAAATTGGGTATCGATTTCCCGCTGTTTTTATCGGTGGAAATCCTGTTGACACAATATGTCCTACCGCTGACCATTACGTGTTTTGTGTACGTTAAAATCGGACAGGTAGTTGTCCGTCAGGGTAAACTAGCCGGTATGTCCAACGATGATCGGAAACGTCGACAAATTGAGGCCAAACGGCGCCGTATTATTATGTTGGCCCTGGCAGTCATCGTGTTTGCCGTTTGCTGGTTAGTAATGTATTTTTTATGTATGTGTGTGTATGTGTGTGTATGTATGTGTGTGTATGTGTGTGTATGTGTGTGTATGTGTGTGTATGTGTGTGTATGTGTGTGTATGTGTGTGTATGTGTGTGTATGTGTGTGTATGTGTGTGTATGTGTGTGTATGTGTGTGTATGTGTGTGTATGTGTGTGTATGTGTGTGTGTGTGTGTGTATGTGTGTGTATGTGTGTGTATGTGTGTGTGTATGTGTGTGTGTGTGTGTGTGTGTGTGTGTGTGTGTGTGTGTGTGTGTGTGTGTGTGTGTGTGTTAATGATGGGTATAGTATAAAATGACATTTATTTTTATTAGATAAAACACTAATAAAATTTGTTTGAAATTTTATGTCAATTAAAATTAAATAGTTATACAATTATCAATGTTTGTAAAATTATTTTTTTAACATTTAGCTAAAAATAAAATAATAAGAAAACTTGTTTACAAAATTACAATTGTAGAAAAATTATAATTATTTCAAAAAAAATTTTTTATAGTTTATTATTTAAAAAAATTAAAGTTTATAAAAATATTATCAATAAAGAAAAACTTTAAAAATCTAATTTAAATATATAATTATAGTCTATTTATTTGTTTTTAATTTAAAAACATAAACAGTATTAATGTAAAAGTTTAATGAAAAAAAATCTTAACATTTAATATTATATAGTATTTAAAAAAAAATTGGTATTTTTCCTAAAAACCTTGATTTAGTTTTATTTATATAATAATAATAACAAACAATAATAGACTATTAATAATTATTTTTTTTGTTTAACAAAAAAAAAAGTTTTCAAACAATATTACAGTACAGTATATATAYATATRTATATTAGTTTAAAACATTTTTTTTTCAAAAACACCAAAATAAATACCAAAATTTCACAACAAAATATTTGATGTCAAAATTTTTTTCACTGTTAATCTTAATTTATTTATATATAATATAAATATATATATATATATATATAGAAATATCTAAACTTATGACATCTAAAATATATTTTTCAAAAATACATATACAATAATAATAATACTGTAAATTGTATGAAATATATATATATATTAAATATAATATTTCTAATACATTAAAATAGAAATCAATACTAAATATATATATCAATAAATAAATTACATTTTTTTATGACATATATAGATATCATTCAATTCATTGAACATTAAATATTATACACATATTTACAGTATATTTATGCCGTATATATTGAATAGTATTTTTAAATTACTGTATTTGTATGTAAACTTTTTTTTGTATAGTATATTAATAATATATATATTTATATATATATATTATACACACAATATATAGGACATACAGTATATATTTGCTGTATATATATATATATATATATATTAGTTTACTTATATATAAATAAATAAAAAATATAAAATTGCCCAGGGTAAGTTAATCATGATTATAGACAGTTGAATGAATTTGATTTTATTTTTTTTATTTATTTATTTATTTTCATTAATAGTTTTTGAACCAAAAAACTTTTCAATCACTAAACTGACTGACTTTTCAATCAGAGAGCTCATCCCTACATACAATATCCCAGTCCTCTCTAACATAGGGTTTAAACTCTCTCTCTCTCTCTCTYTCTCTATCTCTCTCTCTCTCTCTCTCTCTCTCTCTCTCTCTCTCTCTCTCTCTCTCTCTCTCTCTCTCTCTCTCTCTCTCTCTCTCTCTCTCTCTCTCTCTTTCTCTCTCTCTTTCTCTCTCTTTCTCTCTCTCTCTCTTTCTCTCTAACTCTCACTCACTCACTCACTCTCACAGCTAAATATACGGCAAAATTATTTTATATATATAATACAGTAGTTATCAATCATTTTCAGTGGTTTTTTATTTCACTACAAACAACATCAACAACAACAACGAAATATATATATATATATAAAATTTTATTATTATTTCGTGAGAAAAATCTATGAGTGATATATACTGTTGAAAAAAAATTTACTGAAAAAATACTGTTTTATTTATTATTATTATTATTTTGTGTTAAACTACTAATCTATTACTTTAGGAAATGAAAGAAAATAATAATAATAATAATACAAATAAAGTATTAAATCAAAAAAAAAAACTAATATTTCACAGATTTTTTTATTTTATATATTAAACTTATTATTAGTATTAGTATTTTTTTGGTACTAAATATATGTTAACAATAAGTAGTATAAAAAAATTAAATTAAAAAAAATACAAATCAAATGTATGAAATAAAATAATAATAATTTTTTTTTACGGATTTAATTTTCTCAAACAGTTTTTTTCAGTTTACAACTAATAATGTTTTAGTATTTATTTGTTATTTTTTTGTCTCTCTCTCTCTCTCTCTCTCTCTCTCTCTCTCTCTCTCTCTATTGTGTATTATATTTACTGTTACTTTAATATAATATTTTTTTATTGTTGAGATAAATATGATTTATATTTTATTTAATATGTTGTTGAGTAGTATAAAAGTATTAATTTATTTTTAATATCCTATTTATCTATGTGTCTGTGTATGTGTGTGTATGTGTGTGTATGTGTGTGTATGTGTGTGTATGTGTGTGTATGTGTGTGTATGTGTGTGTGTATGTGTGTGTATGTGTGTGTATGTGTGTGTATGTGTGTGTATGTGTGTGTATGTCTGTGTATGTGTGTGTATGTGTGTGTATGTGTGTGTGTGTGTGTGTGTGTGTGTGTGTGTGTGTGTGTGTGTGTGTGTGTGTATGTGTGTGTATGTGTGTGTATGTGTGTGTATGTGTGTATATGTGTGTATATGTGTGTGTATGTGTGTGTATGTGTGTGTATGTGTGTGTATGTGTGTGTATGTGTGTGTATGTGTGTGTGTGTGTGTGTGTGTGTGTGTGTATGTGTGTGTATGTGTGTGTATGTGTGTGTGTATGTGTGTGTATGTGTGTGTATGTGTGTGTATGTGTGTGTATGTGTGTGTATGTGTGTGTATTTGTGTGTGTGTGTATATGTGTATGTGTTATGTGTGTGTATATGTGTTTGTGTTTGTGTGTGTGTATATGTGTATGTGTTATGTGTTATGTGTGTGTATATGTGTATGTGTTATGTGTTATGTGTGTGTATATGTGTATGTGTATGTATTATGTGTATGTGTTATGTGTGTGTATATATATAACAGTGTATAAGTGATTATTAATTTAAAAACTATAATAAATGCAATTTTTAAGTGTAATTAATTATTTCAAAAAAAAAATAATATAAATAATTTTGTCTGACTATAATTAAATCAAAATTTATTTACTAATATATATATTTATAATATTTAATTTTTTTTCTATATATATAGGGCACCCATCAATTTATATTATTTATTTGTCGATTTCAAGGTGTTTAAACATAATTTTAAAATATTTATAGTGGTAAGTTTTTTTTTCAAATTTATTATTTATTATTTTTAATTTATTAATAAATATTATATAATTAGATTTAAATGATAAATTAATATCTATAAATAAACTCTATATATATATATAAATAAAAATATTACATAAATATTACATTACCATTTTTTTAAGAAAAAATAAATAAATAAATAATTAATTAATTACATATAAAAATTATTTATAAATTTCTAAATACATTATGTGTTAAATTCAGTGTTAAATAATTTTTAGTTTTTTTTTCGTTGTGTAAATCATGTAATGTTTTTAATAAACATTTTTTAGCTTTTAACACTTATTTAATTATTTATGTTTTTTTTGTATTATTAATATATTTTACATTTATCATTAATTTTAAATACCAGTGTCTGTATATTTATATATAATTAACTGGTTTTTTACTAAAAAAAATAAAAGTTATTTATAATATTTTTAAAATTTAGTTATATTTATAATTTTTTACGTATATATATATAAATAAATATATCTAAAGTTATATATATATATATAGTATATGTCGATTGCTTAATTGATTATATATATATATATTTATATATATAGATAAAAATAAATWTATATATATATATACAATATATATAAACAGTTAACAAAAATTTATTTTTTGACAGTTTGTCAAAAATTTAGTAAATTTTTATTTTATTATTTTCAAGCAATCATGCGTTTATAAAATGTTTGGCTAAATACCCAAACCTTTTATACTATTTATTTTCAATTGGAAGATATATTTGAAAATACATTTAAAATTAAATAAAAATATAAAAAAAAATTATTAAAAAAATAAATAGTAGTCAATTTAATATATATATATATAAATAATTTAGTTAATTATAAATCTAAAAAAAATATATAATTTATTATTAATAAATTGTAGTAAAATTTTAATGACATATATATATATATAAAGTATATTTACAATCACTTTAATCTTATTAAAAATTAAAATTTTTTAAATGAAAATTTCCACGAATTTATGATTCATTAAGATAGCATTTTTTTAAAAATTTCAATATAAAATGTTAATGTATTAAAAAAAATATTTAACAAAATTATTATTAAAATACTGAATATAATATAATGAAATTTTTTTTTCAACAAACATATATTTAAAATAATGATTTTAACACACAATAGACAATATAAAGTATATATATATATATACATTAATTTAATGTTATATTTACATTGTATAGCATAATAACTATTATTTGTTATTATAATATATTAATAATAATAATAATAATAATAATAATAATAATAATAGCCTAATTGGCATAATTTAAGTCTAAATAAACATTATAATAATAATATAATTATATATATATATATATATATATATATATTTATAAAAAATACCACTTTATCTTGATTATTGATAAAATACTAAAAATGAGTGTAATTTATCTATTTAATGTAATACAAATAACAAACAAAATAATACAAAACAAAATAATAATAATAATAAAAAAAATAAAGTTAAGCTAGGTGATTAGTGTGTAAACACACACACACATGTTCAATTATTATTATTATTATTATTATTATTATTACAGTATATGTAAACACTGTATATTGTATTAAATACACTAATTTTTAGTAAAAAATAATTAATAATAATAATGTAATACAATATTATGTGTAGAATTAATTTTTTAGATTTAATTTTTTTTAATAATTATTTGTTTTTTAATTTAATTTTTTCAGTGCCATTGGTTGGCGATGTCATCTGTTTGGTAAATATTTTCATTATTATTATTATTATATTTATTATAATTATTAAAAAATTAATTTTTAATTTTAATTACTGTTAATAAAATATGTTTAAGTAAATTTAAATATATGTACATGTAATTTAATTTATTTTTAATAATTAACAAGGTACATTAATGGTATTATTATATAAACATATTTATAGAAATATATAAATATTAATTTACAAATAATCTGTTTTAAAGGTAATAAATTATGTTTTATTTTAATTATAAAATATGACTAAATAATAGGATATTTTTATAGTTTAAATGGAAAAATTTAAATATTATAAAAATAATAAAAATTTTCTAATAAATTATTATTTTTTTTGTATGTATTGTTTAACATATATAATAGCAAAGTTAAGTTTTACATTATTATTATTATAAACAACAATAAACAACAACAACATTATATTTAGGAAGTAATAAAAACATATAAATTATATATTAATATATATTTTTATATAATAATAATAAAAAATTATTTAATAAATAATATAGTATTAGTATTATTATTATTATTATTATTATTATTATTATTATTATTATTATTATTATTATTATTATTATTATTATTATTATTATTATTATTATTATTATTATTATTATTATTATTTATATTATGGCCTAAATAATAATAATATTGACAAAACACTCAACTAAATTAAATGTCATTATCATATCATATAATAATAATAATAATAAAAATAATAATGATAATAATAATAATAATTTTCAATGTCGTTTTTACTTTTTTTTAAAAAAAATAAACTAAAATATTAAATTAAATTTTTTTTATTTATTTTGATAAACATAAAAATTTTGATTAATTTTTTTTWAAAGGATGACATTATTATTTTTTATAAAAAAAAATATTAATAAAAACATTCAAATAGTTTTCCCAACAAACAAATAAAAACATTTTTATTTATAGATTTAGCCTTAATTTAAATATATATATATATGATATATATTTATTTATCTAAAATGATAAAATTTATGTTATGTCAATTAAAATTAAGTAAACACAAAATTTTAACTGACAATATTTTTATGTCTAATATCATACTTATATTATATATATATAAATATATGTTTGTTATGATAACCTCATAATACTATATGTATTACTAATAAATATTAAAATTTGTTGTATGTGTGTGTGTGTGTATGTGTGTGTATGTGTGTGTATCTGTGTGTATCTGTGTGTATATATATATGTGTGTGTGTGTGTGTGTATGTGTGTGTATGTGTGTGTGTATGTAATGTGGGTGTGTGTGTATGTGTGTGTGTGTGTAATTACCTAAACTAAACAATAAAAGCAAATAATATTACTAAATATTTTTTATTTTATCTTTAAATATTTGAATAAATTATTTTAAGATAAAAAAATCGTCAAAAATTTAAAGCAAAAAAAAAATATCATATTTAGTATAATTATTTATAAATAATTATTTTATTATTATTAAACACTTATAATAAAATTACACAATTTTTGATATTTATAATAATAATAAATTAAAAATAAATTCTAATTATAGTTTATAAATTAAAATAATTAAACAATAATTTTTTTTTATTATTTAAAAAATATATAAATACTTAATATTTAATTAAATAATTATTTATATATATATATATATATATATATATATATATATATTTGTTGTTATAATTATAGCTACAATCCGTTTATCTACTGTTACTATAACGCCTCGTATCGATCAATGGTTAAGGAGTCGCTTGAATGTGTATTCCGGTGCCTAAAGTACTATAAGGTACAGACGGGCGGTGTGGGCGCCGCCGGTGGGGGTGTAGGAGGCGTTACGACAGTCAACGGTGGCGGCGGAGGCGGCGGTGGCGGTGGCGCTGCCGATGATGACGACGACTACGATGTCGGCGAAGATACCGTCCGCGAGTGTACTAAGTATACGGTTTGTAATACCGAACGGATTGAACTGATGTCAAAGGCCAGGCATATGGCGACTACCGGTGCCGTAGTAGTCAACGATCCTAACAATACCATCACTACTACTGTCATAACTACCGGTACAACTAAGTTAAGATAGGACTGTACTGTACTGTATGTATGTATGTGTATGTCTATTGACGACAATAAAACAAACAATAGGGTGTGTAAACTGTATGTAAAATTAATATTGAAATTAATATTAAAATTAATATTAAAATTAATATTAAAATTAATATTAAAATTAATATTAAAATTAATATTAAAATTAATATTAAAATTAATATTAAAATTAATATTAAAATTAATATTAAAATTAATATTGAAATTAATATTGAAATTAATATTAAAATTAAAATTAATATTAAAATTAATATTAAAATTAATATTGAAATTAATATTAAAATAATAATAATAATTTGAAATATTTTTTAGTCTATTGTAATATAAATATATTTTTTTGGTATTAAAATTATGAATGAATTATTAATATATAATAATGACATATAAAGTGATTAATTATTTAAAAAACATTACATATTTATATTGATATATTCATTATAACAAAAAAAATCAAAAAACTAATATTTGTATTATAATAATATTAATTATTAAATTTCATATATAATATTATTAGTAATATATAGTAATAATGGTTTTTATAAAAAAATAAATAATTTATATATATATTTTTTAAATATTGACATAAAATTTTATATTAAGTATATATATATTTATATAGTAATACTGTGTGTATAAAAAAATTTGGATATTAATAATGACATTTAAATATTAAAAAATTAATAATAATAATTATTATTATTATTATATCAATATTGAGTAACAAACAGATTAAGTTTATAATATAAAAACTTTTAATTAATTAATTTTTGATTTTAATTTAATAATTATTTAAAATAGTGTGTTTAATTCAAGAATATTTTCATATAATTGTATAGTTTTAAAAAAAAAGTTATAATAATAGATAAAAAAAAATAATTATTTTATCAAAAAAATATAGTTGTATATAATTTAAAATAAACTAATAATATACTGCATATACTATATATAAAATAATATGATTATTAAAAAAAATAATGTTTAAAGTTATGTAGATTTTTATATATAACAAATATTTCTACAAATTTAATATATATATAAAAAAACAATACAACTGTATACTCATGAGAGTAATATAAAACATAGATATATAATATATAAAAAAAATAAAAACAAATATAAATTTTATATATATATACAGTAGTTATAATCGCTTTATAAAAATAAATAGATATGAAAATACAAAACATGATGTTTACTACAAAAAACAATATTTTTTAATAATATTATTTTTTATGATTATTATTATTATTATTATACTGTAATATAKATATCTATAATATGTTTAGTTTTTTGTTATGAAAAATAAAAATAATTTATTTTTTTTAATATTAATAATAATAATAATAATAATAATAACATAATGTATATATTAAATGATCACCTGTTGTGCGATGATATATGTATAGGATTTTTGTCTCACATATTAATATAAGTAATAATAATAATAATAATATTTTTATTATTAATAACACACACATAGAAAATAAATTGTAAAACATTTATAATAGTTATAAAAAAATTGTTGTTTTTGCACACATTTTTGTTGTTGTTTTTGTTGGTTATCTTAATAATAATAATTTTGTTATTTTTTTTATTAAATATATGTTAAAAATATTATATATTTTTTCTCATTTATATTGTTATAAATAATATTATTATTTAATTATTTTTTATATATATTTATGGGAGTAGTAGTAGTAGTAGTAGTAGTAATAGGTATTGTCTAGAAATAATGGGCTCTATTTCTAGACATTAATTATGATAATAATAATAATAATAATAATTAATTATTATTATTATTATTATTGTAGTCATTATTATTATTACAATATTAATATCAGGTCTTTAAGTAATATCTTTATACTCTCTCTCTCTCTCTCTCTCTCTTAAATCACATATATTTATATATATAAAAACATTTGCTGTAAATATTATATTAAAGAAAATAAAATAAACATAAATTTTCATTAAAAAAATTAATAATATGTATTATTGTTTGCTTATGTGTTTTTTAATTAATTTCAATGTTTTTTATGTGGTAATTAGTGTGTGTGTGTGTGTGTATGTATGTGTGTGTGTGTGTGTGTGTGTGTGTAAGTGTGTGTATGTGTGTGTACTGTGTGTAGTGTGTGTATGTGTGTGTATGTGTGTGTATGTGTGTGTATGTGTGTGTATGTGTGTGTATGTGTGTGTGTGTGTGTGTGTGTATGTGTGTGTATGTGTGTGTATGTGTGTGTATGTGTGTGTATGTGTGTGTGTGTGTGTGTATGTGTGTGTATGTGTGTGTATGTGTGTGTATGTGTGTGTATGTGTGTGTATGTGTGTGTATGTGTGTGTATGTGTGTGTATGTGTGTGTATGTGTGTGTATGTGTGTGTATGTGTGTGTATGTGTGTGTATGTGTGTGTATGTGTGTGTAATATGTGTATGTGTGTCTATGTGTGTGTATATATGTGTGTCTATGTGTGTGTCTATGTGTGTGTATATATGTGTGTCTATGTGTGTGTCTATGTGTGTGTCTATGTGTGTGTCTATGTGTGTGTCTATGTGTATGTCTATGTGTATGTCTATGTGTATGTCTATGTGTGTGTCTGTGTGTGTGTCTATGTGTGTGTCTATGTGTGTGTATATATGTGTGTCTATGTGTGTGTCTATGTGTGTGTCTATGTGTGTGTCTATGTGTGTGTCTATGTGTATGTCTATGTGTATGTCTATGTGTATGTCTATGTGTGTGTCTGTGTGTGTGTCTATGTGTGTGTGTGTGTATATGTGTAAGTATGTGACTATTAAACGCAGCAAATATTTTAATTAAAAATTAATTAAAATTTATTTTTACAAACTTTTCGTTTTATTTAGTTATATATATAAAATTATTTGCTTTATTCAAATAAAATACCAATTAGTTTATTTATTAACAGTGTATGYGTTAAATAATAGCACCAAAATATATATATATATATAWATATATTTAATAAATAAATAGTATATATTTGTTGTTATTTTTGTTAATTATATCAATAATTTTTTTTTAAAAAAAGTTTTCAATGTTTTATTAAATATAAATATATCTAATTATTTTTATATTAGTATATACTGTATAATAACATCTATTAGTATAATAATTAAAACAATAATTTTATTAATGATTAATAATATTCAATTTGATTTCATAGTAATAATTAATTTTTTAAATAATTTAATTTATGTATTATAATTAAAAATTATAAAAATAAGTAAATATACATAAATATTGTTGTTTTTAAATATTGTTTTTAAATATTAACTACTGGTTAGTAATTTATATTAATAATAATAAATAATAATAAATAATAGCATAATATTTTGTTTGTTTTTCTGATAAAACAAATAAATTATGTGGAAATACATGTATATTATATCATAATATTATATAATATATAATATATATGTCACATATTTTTTCAATACATTACTAAACAAATTTTATGATAAATAATGTCTATTTAAAAATGTTTATTTTTTAATGAAAATCGTGATTTAGAGAAAATTTTGTTGTTATATTAAATATATATATATATATATATATATATATATATATATATATTTAATTTTAATATTTAAAAAAATAATAAAATTTGATTTATATGTTATACTATATTATTTTATTTATGTTGTTGTTAATAATAAATTTATTTCAACCATAAAACAAAATCCTATAATAAATTTCTATTGAAAATTATTATTAATAATATATATAGATATATTCAATCATTTAAGATATTGACATAAATGTAATAATAATAATAATTTCAAGTTTAATGTCAAATTTATTATTTAATAATAATATGATTTATGATTTACTAAAAAATAAAATATAATAAAATTATTATTATTATATAGTAAAAAAAATTAATATATAAATTATATTTATTAGAATATTCCAGGTGAAATTTTTATGGTAATTTTCTACTTTAGGAAATTACTATTTTATATTTTATGGGCATATAATAAATTACTTTATATATACATGTTAATATTTAAAAACTACTATTATATATATAATATAATATTAAATTAAAATAGTTTTTAATTTTTTGTTTGTTGTTTTTTGCAACTAATAGTAATATTACTGTATGTATATTAAAATTTTTATTTTTATTTTAATAAAAAAAATTGTTTTTTGTTTATTATCATATGTTTTGCAATTTTTTTTGATTTAGTTTTATAATATATTGTAATACAATTGCAATAAATATTTTTCATTTTTGATGGAAAATAATATATTAATAATAATAATAATAATAATAAAATCTACGAAAAATGATATATGTGTTAATATTTTTGTTTATAATAAATAAAATAATATAAAAAACTTATAATAAATGTCTAAAATAAAAAGTAAATTTATTTTTATAAAATAAATTATTATTATTATATTTTTTGCTTTTATATACTGTTTATAATTTACTGTATAAACACTAATATAACATAAATTTGTAATTGAAAACCATTGTTATTGTATTATTGTATTATTTAATTAAGTTGATCTATTGATACTAGGTAATTTATTTATTTTTTGTACTCTTAGTAGTTATTACATATAATTTATCAATTTATAATATTTTATACATTCAATACACACCTACCTATACATTGTGTATAATATATAGTATAGGTGGGTTATTAATAATAATTTATTAGAAATCAATAAAAAAAAAATTATAAAATAAATCAGTATCAACTTGATAAGTTTATATTTTTTTTTGTATCACTACTAGATAATAATAGTTTTTATTATAATACAAATACAACAACAACTATAACACATATAACTTATATATATATAGAAATAGTACAGAATATTCTGTACATACATATACTGGATTTAAATGGATATTTAGTTAATATAGGAAATTAAAATTAAAATTTTAGTTTTATTTTTTTAAGTAACATAATTTATAATCATAATACTCATAAATTAGCATTAAAAATTTATAAATATAATAGATTATCTAAACAACAAAAATGTAAATATTTTATTATATTATACTAATATAATA